TTTCACGAAGGATTTCTTATGGGAAGCTGGTCTTGTTTTACATTACACAAAAAATAAATAACAAAAATTTCATTTATCCTTGGTCTTGTTTTACATTACACAAAAAATAAATAACAAAAATTTAATTTATCCTTTCCTTTTCAGAAAGGGGATCATCAAGGACTAAGTCTTATAATTGTATCCAATTGATTGCTTTAGCTGGTAGAAAAATGACCTTGACCTGCAATAAGTCTGCTTAATTGCTGTGTATAGTAAACATTTTACTAATTCTATTTTTATTACAAATTGCCGCCCAGATGAGAAAGTGGTTCGTGAACCTGACTGCCATAAAGATCCAGATTTGAATCCCGGATAAGATATAAATATACACTGGCCGTCCCTTTATAGGACGCAACGATGACCTGCTTATCAGGTGCCTCCATAATAACGTTATCACCGCTTCTGACTTTAGTAATGGCCATTGTCAAAAATGGCTAGTACTCGTCGTTGAAAATTATATTATCGAGAATTAGTTTTTTTATTAAACATAACACATACTTCCAAAAAAAGTTAAAATGCATTCTTTACTTAGAAGTGAAAATACTTGCACGAACTATTTTCCGCAGTTTCAGGTAAAAACAAATGAAAGTATTTTCTTTTGCGCCTGTGAATGTTATATTACTTGGATTATAGTAAATGTAGTAGTAAAGCGTGCCTCCCCAGGTGCTTCTGTGGATGTCTTTCTAAAGGAAACTGTCTCATATTCACATAGACCATGAGGAAAAGGTCGTTATTTAATTGAATGAGACAAAGCATTTAAGAAGAATGATGTATTTGTGGGGCATTTTCTAGAGGAAACTGGTTTGTATTCAGGTTACACAGAAGGAAATCCATGCAGACGTCCAAACATTTAGAATGTCTGCCGTAATTCAAATCCGATTTGAACTGGCACTATTTAAAAGACATCAGATTTACTCGATTACTGCTGAGCCAAAATTCTAATTGTTTTTGGAGTTATATAATAATTCAAATAGTCATTGCATTAGAGCAGCAGTTATAGCTGTGTTAGTTGTAGGTTTAACGATAAATTAACTACAATAAATTAAATTTTTTTCTAAAACAATAACAGATAGATTAAATTTTAAAGATAAATGAAAGATCTTATAATTTGTCGAATGACAACATAAGAAAGTATATTCGCCAGGGATGTTTGAAGTTTAATTAAGATCTTATGTTTCGCCCACTGGCAATACTTGCGAAATGCTGCTCAAAGTTTTTCTTCCTAGACATAATCGTGTCTACAATTTTTGTTTTCAGAAGAAAGTATTTTATATCATAGATAAAAATAATGTGTCTCCCTGAAGGTGCAGCACACAGCAAGTACTGGCAAATTTAATTGGAATTACATTATAATTCTAGTTAATATGGATACAATGTTTTTTAACGGTCATAATTATATTATAGTTGTAATTGCAAAAATGTCAAATGAGTTCTATAGATTAGCATATTTGTATTTATTGAAAGGCACCAATACTGAACATTTTAATATCTTCAGTACTGAAAAGATGTTTCACTACTCTCTTGAAATGTATATTCGATAACATATTCTTGTTGTTGTACTTCTTATTATACATTTTCCTACATATTTCATAAAGTTTTACAGTGGGAATACATTATATAGAGGCAAACTATATGCATTATGCTACTATTATTATTATTTATGTATTCTGCCCTAAGCCACTGCATGGAAGGCAGGGATGCCTTCATGGAGGAGTTTCTAAGGGACACTAAGGGCTCATAATAACACGTTACACATGGGGAAAACAACGAAAACGTCCATGCAGCCAGTCCGTTTGTGAGATTCGGACCTCAGATCGAACTACCCGCGTTCAGAGACTTTACCGCTGGTTGGCCACGCATTATACCGATGCTATTTTATACTTTTTTAATTTTTGTGACCTAAGTTCCATTAAGGTTCACTTGAAGGAAAGTCAGAACAAACAAAACACAGAAAAACAAAGTCAGAAGAGAATGGAAACCTGTATCACTATATGAAATGCATTTGTTCCTTGCGCTTTTGATTTTATAAAGTATAATCAAAACAGCTGAAGAAAGCAAGTTTTGGACTAAGAAAACATCAGTGGAAAATCCTTTTTTCCAAAAGATTATGTCAAATAATGGATAACAATGGTTACAGTAAAATCCAAAAATACTTGCAGTTTGTGAACAATGATTCTATATTCCAGAAAAATCATCCTAACACAAAACTCTACAAAATTTGACTTATGTGTGAGCATTTGAATTAAGTATATCAAATAGTAACTACCCCTGAAACAGATATTACCATAGATGAAACTTTCATATTGTTCAAAGGATGTTTATCCCAGCACCAATACACACCGTTGAAAAATGCAGAATTTAGTATTAAAATATATATGCTAAGTGAATCTAGTACTGGTGACTTATTATATATACTAAGAAAGGTACTTTATTTCATCCTAAATTCTGATCTCTATCGGTACCTTCACAAGTTGTTATAACTTTGATGATGCTATTATTGAAAGGCTGCTGCATCGCCTTAGATAACTATTATACTTCACCAGAACTATACGATATCCATATCTGTTTGCCTTATCAAAGAGATGTGGTTGGAACTGTTTCACAAAACAAAAGGATTTTTCTTTAGAATCGAAAGATAGAAATTTAAAATCTGATGAAGTTATATCATTTAGAAATGAAAAAATTCTCACTTTGAAATGGGACAAATAGGAAGTGACAATGTTATCATCTCTTCATGATTCTGAAATTGCTGATGTAATGACAAAAGTAAAACATTGAAGGAAAAAAAAAAAAGTTTGCAACTGACTACAATAAAATAATGGGAGGTGTGGACCTTGTAGATCAATAACAAATCAAGTAGCCAGAAACGATAATATTATAAAAAAAAAAACCTTCCACTTTTGAGACCAAGCTCTTTTCAATGCTTTTAAAGCTTATAAAAAAGAAAGTGGGGAAAAAAAAATCATACTTAAAATTTATAATGGATTTAGTCAATGAAATAATTGATAAATATCACACTTTTATCTATATTTTAAGATAAGGTCGTTAGTCAAATGAAGCATTATCAAGTCGTTTATTTGAATGCCATTTTTTGGAAATTATACTACCTACAGAGAATAATGAAAACCCTGCCAGAGAATGTCAAGTCTAAAAATGTCATCTAAGAAGCCAGAGAATGTCATCTAAGAAGAATGCAAATGGAGAACGAATTAGGATAGAAATGAGTTATTGTAAAAATTGTAACAGGACTTTGCATACCATGTTTCAAACTTTATCAAACCCAGAAAAATGGTTAAATTTGTGAAAAATATTACAGATATTATTGGTGCTGAATAAAAGCATCATAATTTGCAAACAATACTGTCCATTATTGAAAGTGTACACAACTTTTCTCTCTCCAAAAATTACATGTATTTTGTTGATTTTTATAATTAATTTCTCTAACAAATATATTGCATTACAAGTAAAATTTCATTCTAAATAAATAAAATGCATATTTACATGTTACATTCAACTTAAATGAATAAATGTCATACAGAAATCTTTACACCCAAACTTGATAACTTTTGCAAAGAGTTGAGCATTTTTTCTATAGCACTGAGGTCAAGAGAACATTAGCACAACACATTCATTTTGCAACGTAACACAGTTTGTTCTTTGAGGTTAGTTAGCAGGAAGGTTATGGACAAATGAATATTGGTAGCACAACCTGGGTTTGAATCCTGGTAAAGGCTGGCTGCATGGTTGATTTTCAAGGTTTTTCCCATGTGTAGCATAAATAGAAGATAACTTTCCTTAGAACATCATCCCTTCCTTTGGGCAGGTAGCTTTCATATCTTTGCCATATTCAAATAAACTAAATATTCAATGCTTTATGCTATACTTACATTACCTTATATTTATTCATTTGTTTAAAAGAAAATTCTGTTTATGTTTCTATTTTTTGCAAGCTACAAATAACTTGCAGTCAGCTTGATTGCCAAAGTCTAAAAATTACAGAGACATTTATTTACATTTTAAATTTTAAACTGAGTCACCCAATTTAAATTTTTACAATTTTCAGCTGCTCATCTATATCTTTTAGCTGGATTTTTTTAAAATTTTTATGTTATTTTTAGATGAGTAGTTTTATATACTTTTAGCAAAAAATGCATATGTAATTTCATATACTTTTATTTTAAAAAAATGGTGAGTTAAAAGTTCCTCAAAGACGGAATACACAAGGACTTCTCTAGGCAATTGTCATTCCAATTTTGATAAAATGTCCCCCCCCTCAGAGAATAAAATCCATGAAACCTGTATCCCTTATTTTCCTACCATCTATCTCAAGAAGATGTTCAGGTTATAAGGTATTTCTCCAACTTTCCTAGCGTGCTTTCGTGGTGTAGTGGTTTTGCACGCTAGGCCGGTATTCCAGGGGGTGCGTGGTTCGATTCCCGGCGAAGGCGTTTGCTAATTTTTCATCTTTAAATTAGGTATCTTTAAAAAAATACCTAATGTCTGTACAGTGGCGCCCGAACTAAAAGGGTTGTGGATGATGACTCTCCACACCCAGGATTTGGCGATTGGGTCCCCTAAAAACCCCAGTCGCCCTTTAAAAAGGGGAGTATATTAGGTATTTCTCCCACTTTCATAGCGTGCCTTTGTGGTGTAGTGGTTCTGCACGCTGGGTCGGTATTCCAGGAGTCCATGCTTCGATTCCCGGCGAAGGCGTTTGCTAATTTTTCATCTCTCTTACTTTAAAAAAATACCTAATATCTCTACAAGTAAAAAGATTTTTAAATACCCCTATTCCACAACACTACTATCACAAATATCCATGCCATATTTAATATTTAAGACCTAACTTAACAATGTAGCATTTAATTAGTCTCTGGTGATCACATCATTCAAAGCAATTCTCCAAGAAGGGATTTACTCAATATGTTTACAGTGAAAGAGATCTATTCTAAGAATATTACCCGCCCCTTCTCCCATTCATGAATGGAATTCTTTCACGAGATGAACTGGAACTTGACTCCGGCTCTTCTTCTTTGACAACAGTCTTTGGCTATAAAAAAATAAAGCAGAAAACACTGGCATTAACAAAATATCAATGTACAAGCATTTCAGATCATTATATTTCATTGTAGTATAGCTTTGTTGTTTAATCACAAATGGGCTAAACTTGCAGTTACACTTTCAAATAAATCTACAGTGTAATTAGAGTATTAGCTTTAGTCCCATGTAAATTACTACATAAGATGTTGTTTCTACTGGCATTTACTAGTAAAGATGTTGCTTTCATTTATTGTATTAATATATGGCATATTAAAAAGTTACCCAGCCTTTTTTATAATTTAAAAAAATAAAGATTTTCATAAGAAACCATCTGTGGGGATAATCAACAAACACACAGAGAGTTTTCAAGTTATAACTTGGAACGTATATGTCCCACACATTCACTACATTAAATATGAGTAAAAAATTAGTTTATTGTGGAGATTTAAAATTTGCAGAGTGGAAAATGGCATATCCTGTTAATTTCATTTTCTCCTCCTTGCTGAATAAATAGTTGACTAAATGGCTGGCTGATGGAATAGCTGACTAAGTACATGAAAAATTAAGTTTTAAGCCCACATGTAAAGGATTAAGTTTAGCACATATATTATTCTCCACAGAGGGTTTGCATGCATCTTTTAAGTGATTTTTTCAAAATTTGATTTTTTTTATTTAAGATTGAAGTTTTCTTTTTTGAACTTGTTCATACATATCTGAATTTAGCAATCAAACTCATAACTTCAACTCTTACATCATCACATTCATCAGAAAACAATCCTTCAAATAAATTCTATACCAATTCTCTAACTGAATTTACTAACTTTAGGAAATTTTTCTATGATCAATCAATTTTTTGGATAACTATTAGGAAATGGGCATTCAAATCCTAAAATTCTTTAAAAAGGCTGATGATTTCAGATTCAAAGATTTGAATCTTTGTGCTCCAAATCAGAGGTGCAGCTAGGGTTTTCAGTGCCTGGGAACAAATGAAGAACTTCTGCCCCTTTCTGTGCCAAGAACGGAAAACATTTCATTTTAAAATTTTGTAACATCAATTTTGCACCCTCTGGATGGCTGCACCTGGGGACAGATGTCCTCCCTTGCCCCACCCTAGTTATGCCACTGCTCCAAATCATGATATAAAAGAATGTTAAGATGGTACTACAATAGGATTACAATGCTAAAACACTGTAGGCACTGGAAAGCATTAATTAAGGAATTACAATATGTGAAATTTGGCAAAAATGTAAAGAAATGTGTCAGTTTTGGTTTGGTAAAGCTAGAAATCAAGCTTGAGAAAAAATTTACTTAAATATTTTTTAAAAAAACCAGTTTGAATGTGTAGTGCTATCAACAGACGTCGTCACAAATTAAAACTGTCCTATTCCTGTAAAAATTCACAAAATAATTCATTTTGATATGCAATGCAAACAATTTTTTTCTCTAAATTGTATTTAGAAGTGCTTGATATATTCCTTTACACCACATATTTAGCTAAACAGGGTCAGGGTTGTAAAAATAGCTGGATCTATCAGCGGAAAGATGTTTGCGGCAATCCTATTGTACTGCTATTCGGCACTGGTTTGTTTATATTTATTTGTACTGTGCTCAGTTAAATAGCATACATTTTATAAATGGTTTAAAGATGAGAAATATCAAGGCTGCACCTACCCCTAAAAAATCTGAAATTAAACAAGTTTAACGAATTTGGAGAACTCAAGAACTGAAATTGGGAATAAAGATCTGAAACTCGGAAGTTTATGAACAAGCGGATGGGGTTTGAGAGGTGAGAAATAATTTATTTTTTATATCGTTTATTTCATATTTATGAATTCATTGTAAGTTAATTCTGAAATATGCTTATTTTCTTATTGAACGTCAGAAATTATTGGTGCATCTGTATCTGTGTCAAAGGTGACTGCTCAAATGTTTTTTTTTTTTTTTTTTTTTTTTTTTTTTTTTTTTTTGTAAGGGGATGGTAGTATTGATCCAACCTTGTAATAATACATAATAATTTATTCCTCCAGTCGCACAAGACTGGTAAATATTGCCTGGATAAATTCACGTTCACCAGAAGTTGCTGAAATAAATGAATCTTTTATAGTGCATGTGCATGTTCATGTTCTCTCTTGTGATCTAAATTGGATCCACCTTCATTACATGGTACAGTCAAAAGTCTTTAATCCGGACTCGCCGGGACTTCGGCGAGTCCGGATTATAGATCATCAGTTTAAATCTGGAAAGATGGCATGCAGAAATTATAAAATTAAAAATATGAAACCGTAATTTATGAAATAAAGTGCAATTATGATCTAAAGGATCCACCTTCATTACATGGTACAGTTAAAAGTCTTTAATCCGGACTCGTCGAGACTTCGGCGATTCCGAATTATAAATCATCAGTTTAAATCTCGAAAGATGGCATGCAGAAATTATAAAATTAAAAATATGAAACCGTAATTTATGAAATAAAGAGCAATTATGATCTAAACGGTATCAAATTTTACAAAAAAAAAAAAAAAAAGCTTAATATTTATTTGTTTACTTTATTAAACATTTCTTTAAACGTGCACATAGTCGAAATTAGAAAATTGCAACCAGAAAACTATTTGATGCGTATTCGTGATATTTATGATGACGAGAAATTTAAGTCATATCAAAGACGGAGTACATCGAGATGAAATACTACATTTAGTAAGGAGTTTTAAGCCGAATAAAAGAAAAAACATCTGTCCTGAAGATTAGGATAGTGCTGACAGATCAACTTCAGTTCATTGCGCGCCGCGACGTCCCCCTCTTCCCCCGCGCAGAGCAGCGTGAAATTGATAAACAGATTTCGGAATGGTTAGATAAACAAAGGATATGCCTTTATCCATTTTTTGCAGCAATTCGACTTTTTGTTTGATGGACATCGAAATATGCTTTCGCTTTGTAGATCGTTTGGCAGCTCCAGAATCAGAAATTCTTTTTGCCATAATCAAAAGTTCAAGCTTACTTTTATAAAATTGCTCTAACAGTCTGCAGAAAATAATAAGGCGGATCCAATTAGAAGATTAAGGAACAACGCAATCTGCAACTGAAATAGATAATTAGATAATTTTGGCTTAGCTTATACCGTTCGTTACATTAAACGCGAATGCGTAAAGGTATTATTCACATGCGTTTACGCATGCTTAGAATGTTTGTAGCTTTGAGGTCCAGATTATAGATCATTCCGGATTATGCACGTCCGTATTAAAGACTATTGACTGTACTAGACAGTCATTTATTTACTACGAAATGCTTCTCCCACTCCTAATTCATTTAATTAAAGTGATTGCAACAGTTATATATGGTATATTTTTATAGGTATATGCACTTTGCATTTATGTGTTGGCTCTTCAACTTGCTTTTTTAATATGTCATTTACTTGGATGTCAAAAATTTCCTTTATTGTTGGAACATTTTATCATCATTTGGTATAATTTATACATATATGTATTTTTTTATTCACCTAGCTTATCGCTTGTCTAGTTTTGATTTGTATTTGTCATGTTGGCACGATGTTAAAATGAACTGCAGTTTCTGAAGTAAAGCACGGCAATAATTTGCAATTCCTTGGGAAAAAATAGCTTCAGAATAAGTGCAGCAGTAATAAAGGATAAATTGATTATTTATGTGCTTGTAATATTTTAGTGAAATATTAAAATGCCAAAGAAAGTAAAATTGAAAGCACTGTTTATAAACAAAAGGTTATTTTCCTCCTAGATTACAACCTTGGAGTTAGGATAGAAGAGGAGAGGCTCCAAATGGTTTTTCCCATGCACTGCCTTGAAGCAGTGTTGCACTCCTCGTGGAAGACATTCAGTGACTTGCCATCAAGAACTATACGTTTTGACATGATCAGAATAAATATTTTGTAATTCCGTCGTAAATATATGTATAAACGTATATATTTTCTTTTTCTACACTATTTCAGAATCTTAAGTATGTGAAAAGAAGACATTTTTAAATAACATTTCATTCTGAACAGAATTAAATGCTATACTTTTTCCAGAACACTTTAATTTGAATGCAATATTTGAACAAGTTTTTATTAATTACATTAGAAAGTAATTTTAAGGTAATTCGATTTTATTTGGTTAACAATTACAAAAATTAAGATCAAAGTTTACTGTATCATTAATATTAAAATTGTACAATATTTCTTTTCTATTTACAGAGCTTTTTCCCAATATTACTTTCTCAAACATGAGCTTCTAAGGCATCTTTTAAATAAAAAATCAGAGTCACTTTAAAATTAATGCTTTGTCCAGTTCATTCCAAATTAGAGCACCTTTTATTTCAGTAATGAACTATGTTAAATATTGCTGCTGATTTCCACGTACTGAACTTTCTATGAGTATTCCTGAAGAGGATTAAGAAAGGTGGGTTTTTTTTTTTTTTTTTTTTTTTTAATATTATTTAAAATTTGTAACTGAGTTATTATAAAATGTAAGGAAATAATTCTTTTAATACTTATCAATTTTTTAAAACCCTTAATTTAAACAATACACATTCTAAAAATTCTTCTTTACTGTTTCCTTAAGTATGCATCTCATAGACTGTGCTTTACAAAACCTTTTAACAGAGTGCTACAAACAATTCTTGCTTAAACAGTTTTATAAATATATTGGTCAACAGAATTGCAATTTACATTTACAATTAAATGTCAGGGTTGTCATACATTTAAGTAATATTTATAATAATTATAAATTTAGATATATTTAATAACTAGAATTCTTTACAGTAACATTCACAAGAGCTTATGAATGAATCAATCCTTCATTTCCAAATACATTTATAAATAAATATTTACACAGTTTGTTAAATGTAAATACATGCTTTTTTCAAGGATATGCATAAACAAACATATATATTTAATATTTTTCATTTTCAGCACATGCAAATCTTCAATTTCTATGCATTCATTATATTTTTTGAGTGAAGTTAATTTACAATAATTTGGCATATATCAGAATTTTTTTACATAAATATGTATAAATATAAACTGAATGAAAATTACATGCATTATTTTTAATACACACTCAAAGGTAATTTTTCCTTTAAAATTCCTCCAAGAAGTCATCTCTTTCTAGCCCGACAGCTCTTGCATGCCTTACTCTACTTAAAAAACTTAACCTGACATATGTGCCTAATTACAAATATTTTAAGATGCAGAATTTTATATTTACATTTAGCCATTAAGTTTCAAACTTTTTACTTAAAACATGTTTTTGGATAACATTCATTATCAAATTCAAATTGTCTAGTAAATATATTTTGGCAGATATACTTTTGCATAACATTCAACAAGAAAGAGCATTAAACAGAGCTTTCAATACGTCTTAATGATTTTACCCTGTTCAATAGCTCTCTAATATTATAAATAACAACTACCCATTTCACATTTAAACATTAAACCCCTTTGTCATCAGATCGCATTCTTGATAGCCTTACTTTGCATAATATCGCTTCATTTTTACTACTTAGTTATAAGGAAATTGAGTTTTAAAGAGAGATAATTTGTGCTATTTTGACACTTCAAAAGTACCTTAAGATATTTCTCATTCTTCACAACATAACATGAATACTGTGCTAAAATTGATATTTTTGTAGTCTAATAATAACTTAGAATTTTATAAAACACAAAATCACTGTTGCAAGTTACTGAAAAATAATAAAGATATTATTTTTGGGTAAATGGTACTAAACTGTACAAATTGCTATTACCCATCAAACAATGAATGCTTCTTTTATGTGGAAGTATCCCTGCTTTTCTATTTGTGTGAAAATACTACTAAAGTGCTGTCAAGGATGTTGTGGATGAAAGCAAAAAACATCCCTTCTGGAGATCAGAGCTTGGAAGCACTGCATCAGTCGTAATGTGGGACTGGTGCCTCCTTTTATTCTTAGCCCCATGATTACAACAGTTTGTTTACAGCATTTAAATAATCTAAAAATAAAAAGCAGCTCATAATCTTATCTCAAATTAATAAAATATCTTTTTTAGTAAATTTGAATTTTTATTTGTATTTTCCCTCCATATTCTCTTTAAAATAAAATATAGACCATAATAGTAACCAGAAATCCAACAGCAAAATCAGCTTCAGATGGTATTATAATATATACAATTATGTTTTAAACCATGCCATAATCTGCATAGTAAAAAGTTCAGTAACCGAACCATGCATTAATTAAAAATTGATGAGCCTGTGACAGGAAGATGTGCACCCATATTGGCACTGAAGCAAAGATTACCAGGTCATGCTATAAAAAACAGTCTTCGGTTCCTCATCAAATTTGTCATAATCAAGAATTTCTCGCAGCTCCCTGTAATTAGGACTTTTATTTTTTTAATTTATTTTTTTGGGGGGGACAGGACATTTTGAGACATGGAAAAACAAGAGTTGGTAATAGGTAGGCTCCACTTTCAAATGTCTATCTAAAACTGATGAGTTCAAATCACTGGGATAATTATTTGTGACATATTTTTATGCACTTTGCGTTTTTGTGTTAGTGGTTCAGCTTGTTCTTTTACTGTGTCATTTACTTAGATGACAGACATTTCTTTTATTGTTGGAACATTTTATTTTCATTTCATATATTTTAAGACACAAATAATAACACAGAAATTGAGCAATTGAAGAGTCAGGTTTTGGGGCAACATCTTGAAAAAATCTGTCTCCTACCTGCTCAACAATTATTCACTAAATGCAAATTAATTTAGTTTAAATTTCTTTTTTAAAGTTTTTTGAAAAAAAATTATATATCTTTAGATACTTGCTTTCTGAATTTTAATGATATTGCAAATTAGTTCGCAGCAATAATTAATAATTTTATTTTTTTAAATATAATTTCATAACTTAAAAAAAATTAATTAGCTTTATATGAATGGCATAATGATACAGTATTTGTTAACTTCAATTATTTAATTTATTTAACTTTACTAATTAGTTTCTTATGAAATAATATATATATATGTGTGTGTGTGTTCATTGGTGGTCTTTTCACTCTCCTTGTTTACCATGTATGCACAAAATTAAAATGAATTATGGTTATTTATTAGTTTTTGAAGAAATGTAGTAATTTATAATTCCTTCAAAAAGTTAGTTTCAGAATATCTGAGAACGTCAGTAATGAACAATAAATAGATGACGAAATAAAACTGAAAACACACTGTTTAAAAGCAAAACGTTTTCCTCATAAGTTACACAGTATGTTTACTGTATTAAAATACCCTAAAAAATAAAAAAGGAGCTCATATCTTGAGTCAAATTAAAAATAATTTGTACTGTTTGCTTTAACCACAGCAACAGCTAAAGACTGTGCAATAACACTAATAGAAATCATTCCACAATATGATCTACCTAGATGTGTCATTAGTGACAATGCACCACATTTTGTTAGTAATAAAATGCAACAAGTTTGTTTCTTCTGGAAAACTAAGCAAACCTTAACTCTAGTTTATCACCCACAGAATAATCCTGTGGAAAGGGAGAACAGAACAAAAACTTAAGCCTCGTTTGGCCATGTTAGTCACAATCAATCATACTTCCCGAAGACAGAAGATACCAACAATTAGAATCATGCTTAATATAGCAAAAAGTAACTCCACCAGTCAGACAGCTGTAAATCTCATGTTTGGATGAGAGCTACATACTACTGATGATACTGCCCATGATTTTTGAAGTGAAGTCAAAAATGATTATTTTTAACCCTGAGATAATCTCATTCATATATATATATGTAATGCACTAATTGTCATAATAAAAGCAAAGGAAATGACGGAACACTGTAGATGCGTGATTAGACCCATACTGAAGAAGAATTTTGATTGCGTAGTATTTAAAGAACTTGGCAGTCGAGGCAGTTTTAATTCCATTTTTATTTCCAGCTGATATGTGTGGCCACAATCACCTGACACTCTAGTCGTGCCTTTCCACAGAAGATTTACATTTTTGATATTGTTGGGATAGCAAGCAAGCCAACAAAATTACATCTTAGCACATTAGAGAGCAAAAGCTGAAGTGCGTCGTTATGAAAGATGGAAGCACACGAAGAGAAAAGTTTTGGTTTACAATTCGGTGATTGGTCGTCAAGAAGCATCTGGTATTAACGGTTATGTAAGATCGCATGATTAATTTGAATGACGCAATGCAGATAAGTTATTACGATTTTAGAATAGAGAGGAAGAATTAATGTTTACAGTTATATTATAATTCTGATTCATACATTGTTATCTTACATATTTCCCCCTTCAAAAAGAAAAAGGCGTAGCGACAGAGAAGCCTTTTTAAAGAGAAAGACTTAAAGCCCTAGCAAATGTAAAAAAAAATAAAAATAAATAAATCATACAATTTTTGTCCTGTAAAGTATAATTATCAATTTTTTTTAATAAATTTTTAATTTTTAAAGTCCTATTGAATTTTTCAGCATTTCAATCCAAATGTCTTTTTGTCTGAGAGTTCACATAATCATAATTCTTCAGGGAAGGTTCTTGTTATTACATATATACACTGTGCAGATAAGAAATTTAAACAAGGTGACAAAGTAACCATCATGTATTGGTCCTGCAGTCATACGAAGGCCAAAATGGCACTCCACTGCTCCCACTCTGAGGAAGAAATTAAGCAAAGAAGACACTTGACCAACCATGATGGCCCACCTCTCCTAGAAAACAAACTTGAAACCAGATCATCTCTCTAAAATCCAGCTGCCAAGATGATGTGTGTCAAAGATGCCTTATATAATTTAAGGGAAAGTGTGTAACAGATGTTGTAACTCGAAACCTGCGACTCTTCAATCAAATTAGACCATCTGCTCTGGGTCACATGAGCAGATGTGAGAAAACTCGGACAAATCGCAAGACAGATGTAACAGCAACTTGATTACTTTTACATTTGTGGGTGTAGTTCTTATAAAATAAATGTATGTGTCATGCTTTATGCTTTCATTACGGCCCTGAGATGACTTTTCTTTCCATTTTATAGCAAGAAGCATGTTTTTATTTTTATTGAGACATTTAATTAGTAGAAACAAAGCATACACATATCATTAAAAAGTTATACATAAGAGGTGTTCAAATGAAAAGATACGAAACTTCATAACAAATAAACCAGTTGAAATCTGAATATGCTGCTTTGGCATAATGTCGTGAGATGTAAGAACGCGAATATAGTGTCCAGCATGGTTATGCATATGCGCTGGGTGCCCGCACATGATGCAGGTGAGAAGCATTTGTGTGTTCCATCCAATTGATGCAGCAGTGCATGTGAGAATATTATGTGCATGAACATTATGTGCAGTGCATGTGAGAACATGTGAGCCGATACTTATCAGCAGATAGTGTACATATACAGGGAGACTGCATGTCCAACAAATCAGTGAGAAATAGGAGTGCCAGCTTTGTGAAGGCTTAGAATTATTGAGTGATGACCCGAGACCAGACCAAGCCAGGCCAGGTAAAAACGGTAATCGCAGCTGAACTCACTGACAACGTGAATGACCTGGTGAGCGACATCTCAAAGGGAAGCGTTCCAACTCGGATGATGAACTGAAGGACATAGTGGAGGACTGGCTCCTATCACAGTAACAACATTCCTGGAAACAGGATATCCTTCGGCTCATGAAACAGTGGGATACAAGTGCTCAGGCCTCTTGTGATAACTTTTGAATAAGGACTTCGATATATCCATAGTGTCTTCTTCTTTCCATTTGAACACCCCTAACAGCCAATAGATAAAATGAACACCAAAAAATAAAATTTATGCAAAGCAATATGAAAAACAAGAAAATTACCTTTTTCACAACAACAATCACAAATTTCTTTTCTTCAACATTATAATCACAAACTCTATTACTATCAACAAGAAATTTTCCTGAAATATTTAAAAGAAATGTATTATTTCAGATATTATAAGCAATCATTCATGAATCACTCTAGTGGTTTTTCAGTTATATAGCTGTATATTTTCATATAGTATGAAAACAATAATTAAATATGAAAGAATGCTTACAGTAAAATATGAAATAGGTTAACATAAGGCTGTCAATTAGTAAAAATCCTTTAAGCAAATAATATTGTATTCAATGCCACAAATAATATACTCAAAAACCTTCAATACATTTATGAGTCCACCTAGTAACAATACATTTATCAGTCTACCTGGTAATAATACATGATTTTCCTTTTCATGGTACTTGATAATATGATTTTCAACAGCTTTAGTCACATTTGCGTTCTTCAGTGGAATGATGTTAATACAGTCAAAAGTCGTTAATCCGGACTCGTCGGGACTTCGGCGATTCCGGATTATCGATTTTTCTGGATTATAGATCATCCCTTTAAATCTGGTAAGATGGCATGCAGAAATTATAAAATTTAAAATATGAAACCGTAATTTATGAAATGAACAATTATGATCTAAAGGGCATCAAAATTTACAAAAAAAAAAAAAAAAAAACCTTAATATTTATTTGTTTACTTTATTAAACATTTATTTCAATGTAAGTTGTTTAAGTTGCTTCGTTTTCTGTGATAATACTTTCTCTTTAATTCTATAAACAGGCATAATTTCTTGTTCAGTTACAAAGTTCCGCTGTTTAAGTCCCGTAATTGCTGTGCCGAGAATACCGACTTACTTGTCAATCAAAATGCTTTTGTTTTCAATAACCTCTGGGTCACTTTCTTCACTATCGGAAGCGAATTATAATGACGAGGAACTTGATTTAAATCATATCAAAGACGGAGTACATCGAGATGAAATACTACACTTAGTAAGGAATTATAAGCCAAATAAAATAAAAACATCTGCCCTGAAGATAAGGATAGTGCTGACAGATCAACTTCCAATCCGCGGCGTGAAACTGATAAACAGATTTCGGATTTCAAAACATACTTTCGCTTTGTAGATACAAATTACATATTAGTAAATATATATCGGAAATTCTATTTGACATAATTGAAAGTTCAAGCTTACTTTTATGAAATTGCTCTAACAGTCTGCAAAAAATAATAAGCCAGATCCAATTCGAAGATTCAGGAACAACGCAATCTGCAACATTAACTGAATTAGATAATTTTAGCTCAGCTTATACCTTCGTTACACATTAAACACGCATGTGCACAAACATATTCGCAGCCGTAAAGGTCTTATGCGCTCTCGTAAACGCCTCGTGAACGCGACGCATGCGCAGAAAGTTTGTAGCTTTGAGGTCCGGATTATGGGTGTCCGAATTAATTAACCGACTTTTGACTGTATCAGAAAATTCATTTTTCCACAAGTTTTTATCATCAGTGTTCCAAAGATTTACTGAAAGTCTTGAGCAGTTAAGTCCACTTTATCTCACAAAACTTACCTCATTTCCAATTTTTTTAAGAATTAAGAAACAATTTTTAATCAGCTTTTATATGAGAGTAATGAATAAAACCTGGTTTTTCTAAACTACTACATTTATTTGTGGTTCCAACAATAATAGTAGTAATAATATAGCATTTGACTAAGATATAATTTCAATTACATGTGAAGACAAAATATGACAAATGAAATAGTGAAGACAAAGAGGAAGATGACCTCAAAACGGACTTTGCATAAAATAAAACTAACAATAGCAGACATTGAACCATTAAATAAAATGAAATGCACTAAGTAAGTGAAATAAGTTATGTGCTAAGTGAGTGTGTGTGAGCATGTGCACCTAATAAAGAGTGACAGCAAATTTTTCTTTTTAGTTTTCAAGAGCAATTAGCTTAAAATATTAAAATAAGTACTGCCTAGATTGATATTTAATGCAACACAGAAAGAAAAAATGATCTTGTTACCTAATTTAAATATCATTATAAAATATATAATTGATACAAATAAGACATCATAAATTTTACAACACACCACTCTTAATTGTTTAGTAGGAATGTATTTTTTTTTTAACCTTTACTAATGCAAGATTAAAGAAGAGAGTATAAATATAACAATACCTCATATTACTTATTCACTTTTAAATATCCAATAACTGTACAAGAAAAACTCTCTAGAGCTGTGATGTATTGATGCCTGCATTATCAGTAATTGTAGAATATTTCAATATACTTTTGTTATCAATATAAGACAATGAAAAAAATCATAATATGAAGCAAATGCCAGTGAGTGATTTTAGACATTTAAACAACACACAATTCACTGTGATTGTAAACTCAAAAGAAATTACTCACACAAGATGTATATCACATTCCCACAAAATATTTTGACACCTCAGTTAGAGACATACATAGAACCTCAGTTAGAGACATAAATAGAGGGTTCATACATAGAACCATTCACTGCAATATCTAATAAACTATGGAAAATAATTGTCATTGCTTTCAGTAGTAAAAATGTCACCGTCATTCCAAAATATAATCAGCATAAAGTGCTTCATTCCAAAATGCAATCAGTACAAGCCAGCAGTAATCAATTTAGTAATATTAAAGGGGGGGAGGGTGGCTTCTGGGAGGTGTTTTGCCTGTGCAACAGGACCATGTTAAAAGAACTCAAAATTGATTTAACTTTGCTTTACAATGCCTGATTGAGTTTATTCAATTATTTATATTATGGTTCTGAAATAAAATATACTAATTTCATATCCTAACTTTTACGTGTTTTGGCCAATTCAATTTCACTATTTTCTTATTTTTTATACTGAGAAAATTCTGAGTAGAGAAGAGCTTCAGTTTATGAAAGTACTTTTACAGAAGATAAAAATAAAATTAATAATGAATGTGCATACTATCCTGTGAATAAATTTAAGTAATTTGTAAGATAGTATCTCCCACCTTACTGTAAGCCTTTGTGATACATTGGAAACATATCCCACTACCAATTATGAGGGTAGGGGGGGTCCGGAGTTCAAATCCCGGCTAGCATTTGACACTTTTTTGTCCCCTGCCTCTAAAAAATAAAAAATTGCTTTCAAGTGGCACAAATTAAAATGTGGTAGATGTTAATTCATCACCATCAGAATCCGGCAACTAGATCTAAAGGCCCCTGTGCCTTTATGGTATAATTAGAAACATGTCAGTCTATAAATTGACAGGACCAAAGTTTGAATCCTGGTGAACATACTGTATTTTCTTTGTCCTATTTCCAAAGCGAATTTAATTACTCTATGTATTGATTAAAACAAAATTAAATTCAAATATCTACTGATTAAACATCTGGTTGAATCTTCATATAAAGTTCTACAAATGTCTACAATAGTTTAAGACAATTCACATCAATTAAAAATTTAATAAGAAAAATTATGCTGATGATCACTAGGAATGACGGAATGAAATTTACTAAATTTAAGCTTTGTTAATTCAATAACGAAACTTAAGCTTTTTTATTTGCACACTTGAATTTTATTACTGAAAAATACTTAACTTGAATAATAAGTATTATTCATTCATTACTTAACTTGAATAATAAGTATTATTCATTAAAAAAAACCCTTAATAATATTTATTTTCTTGCTGAAAAGGCTAAAAATTAAAAACTAGGAGATTTAGTTATCTACTGGGAGACTGAGAAATGTGTTGGAAAAACGGAAGAGTTAACAGTTATGAGATTTAATGAATGGCAATCATGTTTCATGGCAAGCAAAATATGCATAATATACGAAACTACTACAGTCATAAATAAAACTCACTTATTATAAAAAAACTTACCTGCATACATTAATTTCATGTTTTTTGCAGGAAATTCATGACCCTTCACCTTTTCAATCTTCTCTTTAAACTTCCTTACCTTTGAAATAAAAATGAAATACTCCTATTTCATAACATTATGAAATGTAAATGCTACATAATTTCATTGCAATACAGTTAGCAATTTAAACAACTACCAGTTTTAAATGTTATTTAATGTTAAAAATAGTTGGTAATATTCGCGGTATGTTTTTAACAAACTTGATGAAAAAAATCACATGAAAGATTTCAAATAGAATAGATATACAGTTGAACTCGCCAGCATGAATGGACGGCGATATTTGTTCGTTATAACCGAGTGCTCGTAAAAAAAAACGATTTTGTGAAAAAAATCATAAAAATGTATACAGTACAAAATTCGTAATCCGGACTCGTTGGGACTTCAGCGATTCTGGATTAGGGGTTTTTCCGGATTATAGATCATCAATTTAAATCTGGTAATATGGCATGCAGAAATTATACAATTAAAAATATGAAACCGTAATTTATGAAATAAAGAGCAATTATGATCTAAAGGGTATCAAAATTTACAAAAAAAAAGCTTAATATTTATTTCTTTACTTTATTAAACATTTCTTTCAATGTAAGTTGTTTTAAGTTGCTTCGTTTTTTGTGCTAATACTTTTTCTTTAATTCGATAAACAGACAAATTTCTTGTTCAGTTACAAAGTTCCTGTAATTGCTGTGTCGAGAATACCCACTAACTTGTCAATCGAAATTTTTTCGTTTTCAGTAGCCTCTCTGTCACTTTCTTCACTATCGGAAGCAGTATTTTCTGGATTTAGAACAACACTACAGATTTCACCGTTAATTGATTCATGATTGGGGCATTGTCGTCGCAATGAAAAACTTCTGTTATATCATCTTCATTTATTACTGCTTCCCCACATTTCTTTAAAAAATCCAATAACTGAAAAATTTCACCTTTAGTTTGGGATGTTCGAAAACCTTCAAATTCGCAGCTATCATCTTCATCATCCTCACCATGAAATATGGTAGCTGGCCATAAATTATGCCAAGCATTTTTTAACGTATCTGGAGACACATCCTCCCATGATCTTGCGATGCTCCACACAGCAGATTTTATGCTAAAAAATTTCAAAAAGTCTTGAATAGTCTTTTTGTTTGATGAACATCGAAACATGCTTTCGCTTTGTAGATCCTTTGGCAGCTCCAGAATTGAAAACTCTTTTTGACATAATCGAAAGTTCAAGCTTAATTTTTATAAAATTGCTCTAACAATCTGCAAAAAATAATCAGCCTGATCCAATTAGAAAATTAAGGAATAGCGCAATCTGCAACATTAACGGAAATGCCTTAGAATCAGTAAAGATAATTTTAGCGTAGCTTATACCGTCCGTTATGCATTAAACGCGCATGCGTAAAGCATACAGATTATGGACTTTGTACTGTATATACTTAGTATATTATAACTACTTTACTTTTTATTTCTGTACAGTATAAAAGTAGTTGGTTAATATATTTTGGGCTGCCTTATATTGTCACGGTTTCTTGTGTTACAGTTTTTTGGAGAAGACCCAAAAAACCTCATCATTTGCACCCGTCTTCAGAAGAAAATTGAAGTTTTTTTACACACTCAAAAGTATGTTGCAGGTGGCTCAGCTTGAATTTCTTCACATATCATCACCACTTTCAACATTTTTCATCTGCTTTAGCTTCAATTTCAGCTAAAATGATAGCATTCATGTCAACAGATATTTAATCTTCAAATTCTGTTTCCAAATTTTACATGATATTAACTTTTTCCTCAGTAATCTGCCCCTCTTGAGAAATGTCCAATTCAGCCTTGCAAAATCAAATGGTAATGCATGTTGATGTAAAGCTTTTCCATAATGTTCATTAAATGTATCACTTTGAGTATGTTTACATTAGCATTTGAGGTTGTTTCAATTTTTTCTTTTAAATCAATAAACATCAAAATCATCAAGTGCTTACGAAAGATTGATTTTAAACTTTTGATGATCCCTTGGTCCACAGAATACATAACAGTTGTAGAATTCGGTGATAAAAATTAAGGCCACCATTGCACATGTGCATTGTTTATGACTCATCACTAACTTTCAGTTGACTTCGGTATGTTAAAATTTTTTTTCAAGAAAGGATCAGCTGAGCTAAAGAAGTGGAACTCAGTAGGAATTTTATGAATCACAAACCTGTTGCTCGCTATAACTGGGGTTTGCTCGTTTAAAGCAGGTTATGCTCCCATAGACTTAACTTTGTACAAATCAAGTATTTTCGATTTCCTCATTAAATTTGGTTTTTCATTAAATCAGGACACATTATCAGTGAGTTTTACTGCATATATAAGCTGGTGAAACTTTCATTTGAGGCATTCTTCTGATTACATGAAAAAAGCAAGATTGGCATCAGAGCTAGTATGGCCATACAGCAAAGCAGGAGGTTGGAGGAAAAGAAATTTGAAACATTCAGAAAGCTACTTGGCAGCAAAAGCCAAAAAATGTGAATTGCATCAGAAAGGAATCAAATTTTTTATGCACATTTTATAATTTTTAAGAAATCAATTATTTCTTGATTCTAATATGCCACAGATAAGTAAAAATAAATAAAAAAAACTACTAATAGAATAATTTAAAAAGGGAGGCATTAGTAAAAAAAGCTAAATGTTGTTTGGAAAAGAAAGGCACCAATGTAAAATTTACATGGAGGTAGGAAGTAAGATGGAGAGGCCCTAACCAGTTTCTCCCATATACTGCTACGAAGCACTGGCGATCCCTTTGTGGTGACCAAAACATCGGGTGATTTACCATTAAGATCGATGGGTTTTGACATGATCGGTTGTAAATATTTTGTAATTACATCATAAATATAAATATAAATGTATATAATTTCTTTCTCTACAGTATTTCAGAGTGCTAAGTATACGAAAAAATACATTTATAAACAACATCTCATTCTGAACGAAATTAAATGCTATTCTTTTCACAGAACAGTTCGCTTAGAATGGTTTAACTTGAATGATATATTTTCACAAGTTTTCGTTAATTACATTAGAAAAAAAAAATTAAGGTAATTCGATTTTATTTAATTAAGGATTACAAAAATTAAGATGAGTTTATTATATTATTAATATTAAAATTATGCACTATTTTTTTCTATTTAATACAGCTTCTTCCTAAAATACTTTCTCAAATATGACATGATTTTTTTAGCTTCTGAGGCATCTTTTAATTCGAAAAATCGAAGTCAATTTATAATTAATGCTCTATTAGATCTATTTTAAATTAGAGCACCTTTTATTTCAATACTGAAATACGTTAAATATTGGTGCTCATTTTCATGTATTTAACTTTCTCTAAATATTTCTGAAAGGGAATTTCATATTTTTAATTGTATAATTTCTGCATGCCATCTTAACAGATTTAAACTGATGATCTATAATCCGGAAAAAAACCCTAATCTGGAATCGTCAAAGTCTCGATGAGTCCAAATTATGGACTTATTTAAATAATATTCACTGTGATGGTACTGTATTTAAATAATATTCAGGCCCAAGCCGTCAATAGGTGCAAGGTCGTGCCAAGCACAACGGCGCCAAGTCAAGAAGGCGAAGGTAGTCATTAAAATAAGCAGTCTGTATTGCTGCCTGTCTGAACAGGAAAATTCTTGTCTTGTTCGAACGTAAAAATATGTGGTTTTTGCGTATATAAGGGTAGCTGAAGGTACTCTAGACGCGTTCGACAAATTGCTTAATCCTTATTTTGTATCTACTGTTGCAATCGTAGTAATTTGTGCAACGTTTATCTTTTTTGTGATTTTTGGGGGTGGGGGTAACTGCTTGTTGTTATTCTACATAAATAAAAAGGTATGTGCAATTACATATTAGGATTAAACTTATGTTAGCTTTTTAATTCAGAAAAGCAACAATTTGAGCATAATTACTCAAAAAATGTTTTCTTACATGAACCATTTGTTTATTGAATTAAAAATTATTAGCTTTCGAGAAGAAAAGATTGACATATTACGGGATACCACTGAATTTAAAATATACCTATTTGAAATTTGAAGTGAAATCAAGATATACAAGGTGTTCCGAAATTAAAAATTGGCCATTTTCCATTTTTAGCTATATGGAAAACTGAAAAAAAAAAAGTTTCGTTATTTCATTATGTCCTAAATACATACTTTATATTTGTTTTATTTATTCTAATAAACAAAAGAGTATTTGAATTATTTGGTAATGATCTAATATTTCCTACTTTTTACCAGCAGCAGCATATACTCAGTTTTTCAGAAGAAGGGTCAAATATTTCAAACAGTGACTTTTCAAGTGTTTTTAAGAAGTGTTTTATACAATAGTTCTTATAGCAGTTATTTTCTTTTATTTTACTTCCTTTTTTTCCCCCATATTTCGGAAGAAAAACAGAAAAACTATCTGGAAATCAGAATTTACGGAAAAAAAGAAAGCGAGAGGAAGACGTAATAAACCAGAATTTTAAAATTACTCAGTTTTTCCAAAACCCAAAGAATACCCAAGCTGACACTATCAGCACTAGTTGTCCATGAGCATCTCAGTTATCATTAAAATTACCAAAATTTTTCTAAAAGGAACCTAATAATCAGAAATTGCTAAAAAGTGTTTCTACCCAGGAATTATCTTCAACTTAACCCATTAACCACCAAAACTACAAGGAATGATCCTTTTCTCATGAAAATAATAACAAATATTAAATTAAGCATTTATAACATAAATTTACACTGAAAATAAAAAAAATCCTCTTACTTGTGAAGAAAGCGAGTGTTGCATTCACGCAACGTCAGCGGAATAAGACTACAACCAGAACATGAACCAGAACATTGAAAGAATGAGTGAAAAAGGAGATTGACTACCCGTTTCCTGCTGACGTTGCGTCAACGCAACACCTGTTTTCCCTTCCTTCCCAAGACAAATATAAACATCTGACTGATGTAATGTTCTGATAAACGGTGAACTTGACTAAAAATAGATCACTCATAAAGACGGCGATTCTTTCGTTAAATATTTTCAGGAAAAATACCCGG